TTTCAGTCCAAACTTATTCTCTTTAATGTCCGGTCAATGGAATCGTATGTAAATACATTTTATTAATAGCGACATTCGAACTCTTTGTAATGAATTGCTAGACAACACAAGTCCTGGTCGCAAAAAAAAAGTACAAACAAATTTATAGTTCTATTCGATTCGTATTCAGTCGCTGATAATTTTCTTGAAAAAGGCCCCGAGCGAGAAGACACTTTGGCTCTTGTTTAACAATATAGATTTGCGCCTCTTTGGCGAGTTGTCAGAGTTGTTCCTGGGCTTCACTAGCAATGCTGACTTTAAAAGTGACAAAGGATTCTGGAGGTTTTACTTTTCGATTAGTATATGCTTACTTACTCCGCTCACCGGGGCAGCAATAAATTCAGAGTTGGATTATAACGCTAATTTATAAGTTGTCTTTAAAATCTACTTTCGTCCTAAACGTCCCACAGCCGACACAATCAATATCTTGTGTAAACTTCCTTAATTCAAAAGGCTGATGCAGGTGTAGATGTAGGCTAACAGTCTTTAGCATAAATTGACAGAATAAAGCCCAACATATAGCCATTACATCACGAGTATATTACGAGAGACATTTAGAATTGAAACTTTCCTGCAAGTATAACCGTTTTTATCTCTTACGAGTGTGTTAAAGAGAGTAAGTCATAATCAGTCTGATTCATTGCATTGCGTCGACGAATCGTGATGACATTATCCGAAATCAATCTGATCTTATCTTATCATAAACAGTTTGACTAGTTGTCTAACGTCATATCTATGAATTGTAAATAGGATATACTATAACCTCAATCAGCTTGTACACCAAACTACATAAAAGAGGCTATACACTACACTACGGCTGAATTGATCTGAAAATTGGGCAACGTCCGAGTCTTGAATACGTACAGTCAACGCTGCACCTCTTTAAGAATAAACTCAGTCAGTGTTACTGTAGATATCAGTCAGTTAACCAATTTACGAATCAAGTCACCAGCCAGAAGTCAGCCAACAGCTGTAAAGCTTTTCACCT